GTTAAATTTTGAAACTTATACGTGTACAGTAACTGAGCAAAACAAAGCTAATGATTAAAGTTGATCTGATATGATCTGGTGATCTCTTGATGTAATTTAACGCAAAATAAATCTTTAAAACTTTGTTTTCCATAATGATCAGCATAAAAGAGATAACGGAAAAATGTAATAGCATGGTAAAACATTAAACATATGTTATTATATTTTTATGTAGCATATTTTTGTATTTCTCTCATCCAAAACTGTGTAAGTTTATACTCACATAATTAATTTGCATTTTATACTCGGCGCATTGAATACATGTCCGTCATAAATTAACTAAACAATAGATTTTTCGTATCTATTTGATATTTAGGCATTGTAGCGCGCAAGAGTACATATATTGCATTACACACGCGATTGCTCATACATACACACACACACAAATAAAATTCATTAAGCGTGTTTAATTATTTTATTACTAACAGTCGCGCGTAACTGAGATTTGCGAGGTATTTTATTTTACGTATTTCGGTTAATTGTTTTCGTAGAATGGAAAACTAGCGTTATTTTCTTTGACATTTATAACGAACACGCTATGAATATTTATTTTACTCTTATTAATGGCTCATTCCGATGCGAATAATTCGCCAACATGAAAAAGTGATATCGCATGACGAAGAGCGAGAAAGAGAGAGAGAGAGAGAGAGAGAGAGACAGGCAGGAAAGGAAACGGTGTTACTGCCAAGGCTTATCTATAAAAATGCAAAAGAGTATGCATAACAATTCCAATAAACACCGCTTTTAATGAGAAGCGGATCTCCAAGTTTAAGAAAGCGTCTCACTTTGTCCCCTCTTAATCGCACTTCGTGGAAAAGTTTTATAAAATTACGGTGAAGTTTGCGGAGCGCAATTATCGCTCTAGGGAGAGAAAAGCGTTTGTCGCTAACAATTCTAATAAATTTATATTTCTCTTTGCCGATCACGTTTCAACTATTTTACAATCGCAATAAACATAAATGTCATCGAATATATACTATACATACATGTATACGTATATCGCTGAAAATACGCGTATAGAAGGACTTTTTTTTGTATTTCATAAAAAAATTTCCATCACGAGAGGGAGAAAAAACTTATCTACATAATATATGTGTGCAATCATCACCGCGCACGATCAGAGTTTCATAACTCTTTTCTACCGTAAAATATTTTTTAAAAAAATTATTGCGCAAATCTGTACAAGTTCAGCGCGTAGAATTTATTTTCATTATCTCGCAAAATCTTGCGTTTCGAACGCAACGCAGAATACGGCCGTGAAAGGTAAGGGCAGCAACTTAAAAAGTTAAATCGCGCCATGAACGTTAGTAGGAAAAAAAACTTTGTGAACACATGCGGTATTTATTTATAATATATTTTTTCTCTACTCCGCTCTTCCTTTCTCTTTCTCTCTCTCTTTCTCTCTCTTTCTCTCCCTCTTTATCTGCGTCGTTGGTGATAACCGCAACTTCTCGCACGATGCATACACAGAGATCCACTTTAGAAAAAGCCCATGAAGAAGTCATCCCCTAAGTTCCATGGAAGTTTACGAACTTTTGAAGATCGCTCCGTACATCTCCTTTTATTTTACTCTTGTTTAATTCTTCAGAAATAAACGATTGTTACGATGTGACTTTTAATTTTGTTCTCTCTTTCTCTTTCTCTCTCTCCCTTTCACTCTCTCATTCGTCTTTATAAATAATTTATTTCACAATTTTACGAAAGATTGCAGGAAACTTTTATATCTCTATTTTTAAATAATAATTTACAATTTTGAAAAACTCCAAACAAGATTCCGCATCGCGTTTCGCGAGATAAATTATTTTTAATATCAACGTACACACAGAAAATTCTGAATGTCGCGTGGATGTTAACAATCGCAGTTTGTATTATCTTTTTCCTTTCGATTCGTTTCCAGTGTCATGCAGAAGGCCGAGTAATAACGCCGTCATTTCGGCGGGACGTTATTTCGAAAAAGGAATAGCAGAAAAAAAAAAATTCCCGTGACCGGAATAGAATTTTGAAATATGGAGGCCCATTTTATCGCAGGCACTGATATAAAAAAAAAAAAAAAAAAAAAAAAGGAGCACTGCGGTGTCCCCTCTTGTTGCCATGAAATATTTGCCGCCGTGGGTTCAACGTGTACAGCCGATAAAACAAAATCCGATTAAATGCTTTGTTTTCGTCACGCTTTTTTCCACGCTACGACGCTGGTCGCGCCTGTGTCCTAATTGATTTGCCGAGTAATGGATCAGTCCCGCGCGTTTCACTGCTACGGACAAGCGTCCGGGGGTGCCGATCGTTAATACATACATTCCTATATATATATATGTATATATACATACATATACAGCTGCGCATGATGCGTTCTGATGTCATTTTATTCTATGCTCATCGCGCAAATCCCTATTGTCCATTTACGAATTACGTCAGTTTCAAACCTTACGTGTCACTTATTTCCACATAAAAAAAAAAAAAAAAAAAAAATTGTTTCCGTTCTTCCGCAAAAAACAAAGCTAAAGTCGCTCGTAAACGATTTTAAATTAACCTAATACAAATGCGTTATTAGCAAAATAGCTAATGCTAATTAATGCTACGGTGACTCTGCGTCAGTTACGTTAATTCCTTCGCAATCCTTTCACACGCGCGCGCGCGAGATTAAAAGCTGCATATGTGAAATGCCGTATAGCGAAAATATATTGTTCCTAAATAACGTGGATTACCTTATTACACTGATATATTACAGATAGATACGAAACACCTGATGATATATTGCGCCAGCCCCGATGGTGCTACTATTCTTCAACGATCTGTCGGCAGAATTTTGAAACTGTTTTTTCGTTTGTGTTTGTTTAATTGCAAATAAAAGAGAGATAAAAAGAGACAGAGTTGTTGCCGCGACAAGTCGCGCGAACCGCGATATTTTGCACAACGATTTCTTCGGGTTACATCGCAACTACTACTTGATTATGTTAAGCTTACAAGCGTTGTTGGTCATGCATGGCTGGAGGCGAGGCACTCACGGACTTGACCAACTTAGAGAGCGCCCAAGGTGAAGAGTAATAGACAGGAGGTCGACGGGGCCTGCTACATACGAGGTACTAGAGACAGTAAAGTGTAATACTACGTGTGCGGGAGAGTATAATAACGTTACACTGCTAACTAACTTCGCCGATGTACTGCCTACTACTCTGTATCAACCTTGCATCCTTAGTCGTTTAACGTGAAACCTGTGTAAGAGAGAGAGAGAGAGAAAGTTTTCGCATTAACAAGAAGAGAGACGGGAGTGGAAATACAAGCCCGTCAAATATGTAAGCTCAAGGATAATTAATATATCAACTCTTCCGGCAATATCATTTTGTAATAGCGCGTATATATGTAGCGCGCGTAATCCTTACGTCTATACATCGAAAGGCATAATAACGCGCAAATTCATTCGGTCGGTAAATCTGTATACATCGCTAAAGCTCGCGCGTGCAACGGAAATATCGGTGAGAAGTTCGATTAATCTTTTCCCTCCCCGTTGTTACGCGAGGAGAGAAATAATACGCGCGGGGGAATCTAACAAGAAAATTGATCTAGCAAGCGCGCAGAGCTTTCGCAAGATACGCAATATAGTCTTATCGCGGTAATTTATATCAAGAAAGCAATTTTTTTTTTTTTTTAAATCGATACGTATAGCGGCGTTGGCGGTATACGTATACAAATGGGGATTCAGCGAGTCAGTAATCACGACAGACGATGGCGCGATCGAAGTTCATTTATTTGCGGGGCACTGCGTTTGACACGTTCGATTAAACGAATTTGCAAAATGCCTCTCGGGAGCAATCCGAGTGTAATAGAAATGTTCTCAATAAATTGCGCCCGCTCTAAACGCCGTTCTAATTCGCGCGCGTCACATTTTATTTGTTGCTATCTTAGAGAGCAAAATAAAGTTTTTTTATTGTATTTTGTTTTTTTTTTTTTTTTTTTTTTCACGTTCCCTCGCACGTGTAATATTTTTATTTACATGCATAAAATTCTCTCCGCTTTCTAATTTATGTTAATTGGTCTCTAATCGTGCCTGCGACCCGGCACGATTGAAAGTTTTATATGTTTTATTCAGAGCTCGTTGCCTCTGCGTTTGGCATGAGCCAGTCCGCTCGTTCATCATGTGTCGGCTCGCTATAATCGAGCGTTTTCGAGGGTGATTAAATTGTCAACAGTTTACTTGACGCTCGATCCGCGCCACCTCATCCTTTCTCTCAACCTCAATATCGCTCGCGATGATTGCTAATTTCTCGTACATTTTCTGAGCCATTATCGAGGGAACATTGCCGTAACTGTCGAACGTATATGAATCTCGACTATCGGTTAAGCTCAAAGGAACAGAACGCGGTAAAAAAAAATTGAGAAAAAAAAGGGGAGGGTGTACGTACAAACGCCGTGTATGAGAAAAGTTCGAAATTGATTTATTGATGGATCGCTGATTGAAAAAATCGTTTTACAAAACCCGACAAAAACAAATATCGACTGAAAGACCGACGTCGCTTAAAATTCATAAATGCCGTCATATACCTATAACCAATTAAGTCACACATGCCGCAACTGTTGACCGTCGGTCGGGAACTTTTAATGAAAGCCTTTCGAAATTCATCGGAGACGTGCCGTTCTTTATCAAGGCAGGTATAGAACGACTCTGTGCGGAATACCTATTGCGGAATACTACCTATGTACGTACATATATATACGCAAACTATCGAATTCTCATAGACCAAATTACCAGAATATTAAGTAGCTTATATTCAAGTGTGCGGTGGTCATGTTGGCGGTAAATCAAACCGGGTATGGACGGTACGTTTATGGACGGTCGAATGTAAATTAAAACTAAAATGCAACGAGCAAATGTTAATTTCTCGTGCAATATTTCTGATTTCAGTCCAGATATGATATACATATGTGTGAATGTGTGTGTGTGCTATCTTTATTGTGTTACAACTTACCTGATACCACCGCGAGTCGTGTCGTAATTCAATGTACGGGATCCGTGTCGCCACGTGACATAGCCAGTAGGTTGCGGTATATTGCTGACTACACACTTCAACTCTATTGTACTGCCTGCTTTGTAGAACTTGTCACCGGCTGTGGCACCATGCTCATCGACTATTTCCACCTTCGGCACTGCACAGAAATTAATTCATTTTTTTTAAGGAAATGTTGTACGTCGCACGTATTTCGCAGCAAAAAAAAAAAAATATTTGTCGATTTCAACAAACGTCAGAGAAAAGAGAAGAAAAACGAGACTGTAATGTTAAATACAAATTTATACAAAATAGTTGTGAATTTTGAATACGTGTCATATTGCGATGCTGCATATAGATAACGCATTTCGGCGAAAACCAATAGCCGAACGGAAAGTAAACGATTACAGAACCGTGCGCGATCTCAGTTTCGTAAGTGCTCGACTAGAGATCAAAGTGACACAGCGTCATTGGATGTACGAGCAAATGAGGCTTCAGGATCGAATAGAGGCAAGCATTAGTTGCGGTTTCCGAAGCGAAGTCGCGTTTAATTACTGTCGTAAAGTAACGGGAAATCGTTGCTTTTCCTTTTAGTGCCCGTCGCTCGTTTTTCGATCACGTAACGGGCGAATGTACGTCCGATTGAGTCGCGAAAATTTACGTTGTTCAGAAATCGTCTTCGCATTCAAACAAATAACAAGGAAAATCTCCGCAAAAGAGATTTTATTTCTTTCGTAAAATAATATATATTACAGTCAGGTTTTGCGTTTTTTATTCTCGTTTTTTATCTGAATCTAAACAGATAATAAGCGTTATAAATGACATATTTCTGGTATAAATATATAATTAATTGCATCCATCGTCTCAAGTGTGGTGTTAAAGATAAGAGCTTCAGCAAGCAAACGCCCGGCGTGCCCTATCTACGATCGACCACACAACAACGAAGCCGAATCAACAACCTACGGTCTCTCGATGCAAAACAAGGAAAAACAAAGTGAGAAAATCTAGAAATTAAAGTTAAAAAACGGGAAAACGAAAAATGACAGAGAAAACAATTTTTCCGTGCATAAAAGTTCCCGTGCATTGTATCAAGGGAAATTTTTTTTCTCTCTTTTTTTTTGTTTTGTAATGAAATTATAAGATGAGAGTGGTGTGAAATGAGAGTAAAAGAACAAAATACCGTCTTATTATTGAGAAGCACTAGAATATCACGACAAAAAAGACAAAGAGAGAGAGAGAGAGAAAGAGAAAATTGAAGAAAAGAGAGAAATAAAAATAGAGGAAAACAACAAGGCGACAGGCGACAATTGCCATCAGGAGAACGAGCGAGGAGCCAACTATAAATACGAGGCGAACAATCGAGGAAGCCTTTAGCTTCGTGGCGCCAGCTAATCAAAGCCTCGACGGGACTGATTTCGCATCGCCTTCTGCTGCTCGTCCTTCTGCGTTCGCCCTGGTTCCGTTGGGGCACCGGCCAAACAATGTCTGTCAGCGGCAAAACTTTTGAAACATCCATTTAGGAAAAACTCCATTTGCACCCAAATGAAGGCCACAGGTCCCCGACACGCTGCGTCGCTCTCACCGGCTTCTTTCTCTTTCGCGAATTCACGCTTTCGTTCCGTCCTCGTCGCGCACCGCTATTCAATCCCGTATCACTCGGTCACGCGCTCTAGCATAGCAGCACAAACCTGACTGATGCATCGACGCGTTAACTATTCGTCATTGTGTTCGTCCTTTCGTCATTACTAGCTGCTTTTTCTCATGCTTTTTTCTTTTCCCACTATATGGAACTCGTGAGTTACGAACCCCATTGGGAATAAAAAAAAAAAACAGAGAGAAAAAAACAAAAAAGCAACACGTTCGGGCAGAAACACAACCGAGGAGAGAATCGAGAAGCTTACTGGGGGATTTTTTCGGATAACGAAAACGGGAGCGCCCGACCGATTCGCTCGCCGCACGATTTATCCATGTTTGCCTCTTTATTTATCGAGTTACCAGATCCGCGTGCGTCCTCTGCGGTCGTCGGGGTTATATGTACAACTTCCCTCTTCTCCCCTCCAGATACATCCTTTGAGGACTGACTTGTAGTGGCGCGTCCTTTGAGAGTTGCTTTCTTTCTTTTCTCGTGCGAGCCGCAGCATCGTCTGTACGTGTTATAGTCGCTCTTTCCGCGCGCCGGTTTTTGTTGTCCTTTTGCAAAAAAAAAAGGAATATTCGCGACCGACACTTCCTTTTCGTTGGTTTTATCCTCGTGTACGTCCCGACGTTGGGGAAGATCAAGGAGAGTTATGAAGAAATCCGACGAAATCAAGAAAGCGCATGTGAGAAAAAGTATTCGGTTTCCTTTATTTTCGCGTTTTGCGGAAATAAGAGGGAACGATAAATGCGTTCCGTTGCGCGCGCAACTTTTTTCAAAATATGTTTCGCGTAAAAAAAAAAAAAAAAATTGTGCATAATTATTACGTTACGAGCAGAATAAACTAAAAACTGCGACAATACGTGTTCAAAAGTTTTGCAATTTAAGCTACATATTTATGGCTTTATTAAACCAGTACCTACGTTGACGTACATTTACGAAGTTGAACGTAGAAATAATAAAACGCATTACGAGCAAATAAAAAAAACGTAGTCATTTATTTACTTGCGCACACAGCTAGCAGGAGTAGCGGTGCTCCTGTTTCCGTCGTAATTATAGCGACATTTTAGCACAGAGAACGTTCAAACGCGTTTCGCAAAAGGAATATTACAAGAAAAAAAAAAAAAAACGATCTTGCATATAATTAAAAAAAATATTTTTAATATTATTTTAGACGACGACGTGTGTCGATCGATGTGTATCAATCGATGTGTATCGAGAGTGAATTTATTATTAATTGCGCTTGCGTATTTCAAACATGTTCGAAACCGCATATTAATTACGGCGTATCTAAAGCAACCGATATTTTTTTGCGGTGAAAATTTATTTTCTTCGTCAAGAGATTGTCGCGATAAGTGACAAATTCTGGGTTAATTTACATTACAGCACGATTGAACAGCCGTGAGTTTAACGCCACGTACCGTGAACGTTTCGACGGAATGTTCTCTGTATTTCGTATCCCGAGGGCGCGCGTGCGTCCCTTGTGCGCCCACAAACGGCCGCGTGCAATTACAAGCAGGTACTTTGAACACGAGACCCATCGTTGGTACGTGGTTTACTGCGAGCCGCGCGACAGGGCTGACAAAATTACCACGAGCCAGAAAACAAAGGACGCGGTATATGTAACACGACGCGCAAAAGAAAACCAAGAGAACGGATATATGTACGTTGCGCCCGAGAGAAAGGAAAGTAGAAATCGGAAAGTTTGACGAGAAAATTCGAGATGTATCTGAAATTTTCTATAGGGAAAACCGCCGGGCGAGCAACCAATCTCAAGTTTGTACGTCTAACTTTTTACCTTTTTGCGTATGTACGTTATATACATATATATATATATATATACATACATATTTCCTGCCGCATGCGTCGCTCGCTATTATCAGAAATCACTGAAACGTTAATGCGAATGAAACCGCGCGATAGAAAGATCAAGCTATACGTTCGATTCAGAGTGTGTGTGTATATATATATATATATACATGTTATACATCGTATCTCTTTTCCATTGAAATTATAACACATATTCGAATGTGAAGTAATATCATTGAAATAACAGTATCGCGTTTGTACATGTGTGGCAAAGAGCTTCGAAAAAGGAGTCATTAACGAAGAAACTCAATTAATTAGTCTCAATTGGACTTATCTTTCAAGACAATTTCTCCGGCGAGTGTTTAAAGACCGCGATAACTAATTAGTAGTTCTAATTGTGCGAGATGAAAGAGAGAAATTCTTTGAGCGTTAATATTATTTCAACAAACCGAGTCGATCATGTTTTAAGGTTCGTTTAACACTTTCTGTATAAATTACATTGTAGTTAATTATTGATAATTTCTCGACGCGCACACAACTTCTCTCTCGCGCGCGCGCGCGCGCTGGAAAGACGTGGAGGAAAAGAGAAAAAATATCTCGATGAGAAAGTGCAGCGCACCGAGACTACAATTTAATCGTATACCTAACATGAGGGCAGAGATGGAAACAGTCTATCAGCTTTCTCTCCAAATGACACGGGCGCGACGTAGCGCGACCTCGAACACGAATTTAGGACCGTAGCAAGCACGGTGGCGCACGAGCATGAGAGAGAGAGATATAGAGAGAGAGAAAGGAGACGCACATGCACGTGCGTCGGGGCGGAGAGATCTACACACGTGTCCCCTGAGGGAAACAAGGGGGCCACATATGCAAGCCGGGGTCACGCGTGTATGCATATGCATCTCTCCTCTCCGTACTCTCCGCGCGCGGCGCGGAGATTGTGAGCAGTATGCATGGGAATCACGTTGTTGATGTACGAGTCAAGCGGCGTCGTACACAGCATATGCCGTCGTCGTAGCAAGCAGCGCGAACGCCCTGCTTTTCGACCTCTCCACCGTGCTTCGGCTCTCTGGTGCGGCGTTTCCCGCAGGCAGTCGCCGCGCGCGAGTCTTACGATCTACTATTTTCGCATATATAGAGGAAAAGCATCCCCCGCGTAGCATTTTACAACGAGGATAAACCACCGTTATTTTCCCGCTGCTGCCGCCAGAACATACCGCCGGATTCCGCAGCACCGTCCAAAAATAATCCCCCGTTCCATCCCTTTCCGTTGCGCCGTGTTTCCGTTTACTGATTTCATCCCCCGCTTGTATACGATCCATCTATACGCTCATATATACAATACACGCCGTATATATATATATATATTTCCTTTTCCTCCGCGTTTTCTCTTCATTCAACCTGAGTCTCTTTACACCGTAAAGCGCTCGATGTATTTGATACCGAAGTTGGATCTCGCCTTTGTGTTACGCTGCGCGATAATGGACAGACAAATTGGTCTCTTTAGCCGCGGGGCAAGAACGAACGTGTCCTGCGCGACGGAGTTAATGTTCTTCGTGGACGTTAGAAAAGAGACACATCTAGTTAACTGCGTTTGTCTGAACGTGGGGAACAAATGCGTCGGATACGTTTATCGAATGACCATGAGATTTATTTTCTTCTCTATGTGTGTGTGTGTGTGTGCTATCTTACAATTTTATATTCTAAAAATATTA